AGTGTTCGGATTTGTTCCGATCAGAGCATGTGAGCGGAGAGCGCATTTCTGAATATTCCGCTCTGCTCACTCATTCCGCAGGGTAGCTCGCTCAACCCAGATTGGCCTGCTGGTTCGAACTTCGAAGATATGTGGAATAAGGCCTCCGACTATTTTTTTCCCCTAGTCGACTAGTTGTTCATTTAAGCCATTAGCGGGCAATCGCCCCTTTATATTAATTTAATTAGGCTACTTAAAAAGGGCAGGCTATATATAGCCTACTATGGAAGCTTGTTTCCGCCATAGAATAAAACATTTTAAAAGATAATTGCGACTTTATCTCACAATTGTGAGTTTACATCTCACAATTCTGACTTTATTTCTCAGAATTGCGTGAAATAAAGCCGCGATTGCGTGTTATAAAGTCAGAATTGCGTGAAATAAAGTCGCAATTGCTTCTTTTTTTATTTCTTTTTTACCCCAGAATAGTTAATATCTCACAATTCAATTCTGACTTTGTAACACGCAATTGCGACTTTATATCATGCAATTCTGCCTTTATATCTCCCAATTGCGTATTATAAAGTCAGAATTGCGAGATATAAACATGCAATTCTGTGAAAAAAAGTCAGAATTTCAAGCTATATTTCTCGCACTTTCACGCAATTTTGACTTAATAACATACAGTTGCGACTTTAGGCCTATATCAGACAATTCTGACTTTATAGCTAAACTGCGATTGCCACTTTATATCACGTAATTCTGAGATAAAAAGTCAGAATTGTGAGATTAAAAAATCGCAATTACATGTTTTATTTTTCACTCTGTGGCGGAAACATGCTCCAGTTGTCGTGCAATGCAAGTGATCGTGCCGGCGCCTTATTACATTGTCTGCTATATATTTGCTTCTTATTTATTAAATACAGGCAATTGGTTGATAAAACATTGATCAAAATTAAGATACAATTTATACAAAACGAAAATCTTTTAAAAAAATGTCTTTCTACAAAACAAAACTCAAGTGGTCAAAATAATGTTTTACCCACTCCATGTCTCCAGAAATATTGCAGCTTCAGGCAAATAATTGTGAAAATAAGTGTGAAAATAATTTCCAGTAAAGGACAATGTTGCAACAGTCGTTGTTTAGGTATCTTAAACGAGCACGTACAGTCTCTGAGTCATCGCTGCAACCAGGAGATGAAGGAGAGCTGAGATCCACATCACCTAGCACATCTTCGTCTCTGCCACCCGCTATAGTGCGACTGTCGCAGCTAGCGCGACCAGCGCTGTTGCCAGGAGGGCGCCAGCGCCTCTGCCTATCACATGAGTCCTAATAAATGCAATTTCAACTATTTCTGAAGTGCTTCTTTTATAAAGAACACCGCTTTTTCTTTTATCGGGAAACGCAGCCCTGCAGGTATGATGCGTAATGGAGATTCCAAAAGCGCTCTTCTTTTGGTCAGAACCAAGGAGAGCGATCACGGATAGGTCCGTCCTGACTCCACATGCACCGAAACTTTTTAACAATGCAACAAAATATTTAAAGAGCATCAAGCTATTAAAATCTATATTATGTATAGCCTAGGTACAGATATATTAGTCAGTAATTTTTATTAGGTTAAACAGTGATTGGAAAACGTTTTTAATTTAAGGCCCACCCACAATTGGTCTGGCCCATCCAAACCTGGAATCCTGGCACCTTGCCTGAATTGTGCGTGCATTTATTAATCAATATGATACTAAAATCGTAATAAAGTAGTAGGCTTCCCTTTCAATAGTCCAAATTCGCGTGCTGCCATTTTCGTCTTTCTTCTATGGATTTCTTCAGCTCCTGATTGGTCAAATTCAGATAGATCGACAAATCGGCTCATTCAACCGCACAGCGCACACACCTCACGAATTCAAGCCTACAGCTCCCAAACTTTTTAGACATGTTTAAAAATTATCGTGAGGGCGAGAGGTTCGGCTCGTATCTTCCTAGCACACACGAGCCGCAACATGCGAGCACAACCGATTTCCATGCGATTTCTCCCGAGTGAAAAAAATCATCTGCGAGCTCGTAAAACAGCAAAAAATCGCACCGTGTAAGCCCGCCTTAAGGGAATATATAAACAGACGTTTCAGTATTAAATGCATTTTCTGAGAATTTATATTTCAAGTTTTGACTGCAAATGTCACGTCCACAACGCTGGAATTGCCCAATTTTAAAGAATTTATCCTCAACAAGTTTTTTTGGTGTAGGTCTACGTATTTTATTATGTTAAGTTCAAATAATACGAATAAAAATTACTTAATTTAAAAATGTGGTAGCCCTATGTCCAACACATCACACTCCACTGTTATTGTGGCAATTTCAGTAGATTTGCTCACTAACATTGTTGTGGAAACACAATAAGAATGGAAACTAAAATAGTATCGTGCTACAGCGCACATCAGCTGCAGTTCTGGCGCCTCAGTCCCATTACTGTAAAACTCGACGTACATTCACATCACATGTTAATGCAGCGGTAGAGTTACTCTCACAGGACACTGCACTTATTCGCAATCCCAAAAGTTCATTATTTGCTCGTGCTTTAAAGCTTTGCCGGGTAAACATTTCATTGCCGTTCTGTTCTAATGCACTTTTTCTGAGCGCGTAGCCTACTGAAGCGCGCCCGCACTGTCAGACAGTGCCAAACTGGATTTTTGTTGGGTCAGACCCATCTGATAGCGATGGGGGGCCGAGACCGAGAGAGCTGTAGCTACATGGAAAGAAATATGCACCAAACAAGCCACTTTGAAATTTAGCTGTTTTGATGAATACAAAAGTTGGGTGACCCTCCCCTATAGATTAAAAAAAGTTGGATGACCCTCCCCTCAACAAAGAATAAAAAGTCATGACCCTCATCATTTTTACATTGTATACCAACGAGTGTTCAAGTTGTGATTATAATAATTTTGTAGTGAAATTCTTGGATGACACAGCGATAATTAGTCTTCTGTTTGAGAATACTGATATGTCAGTTTACTTCTCAGAGGTATCAAGGTTTTTAGAGTGGTGTGATCTAAATAATCTTATTTCTATCATGACAACTCTCTGGATATTTTTTAGCATGGTAATGGATATGACAATGTTAATGTATTTGGTCTTGGCGAAATACACTCACCGGCCACTTTATTAGGTACCCCATGCTAGTAACGGGTTGGACCCCCTTTGGCCTTCAGAACTGCCTCAATTCTTCGTGGCATAGATTCAACAAGGTGCTGGAAGCATTCCTCAGGGAGTTTGGTCCATATTGACATGATGGCATCACACAGTTGCCGCAGATTTGTCGGCTGCACATCCATGATGCGAATCTCCCGTTCCACCACATCCCAAAGATGCTCTATTGGGTTGAGATCTGGTGACTGTGGAGGCCATTTTAGTACAGTGAACTCATTGTCATGTTCAAGAAACCAATTTGAAATGATTAGAGCTTTGTGACATGGTGGAAGTAGCCATCAGAGGATGGGTACATGGTGGCCATAAAGGGATGGACATGGTCAGAAACAATGCTCAGGTAGGCCGTGGCATTTAAACGATGCCCAATTGGCACTAAGGGGCCTAAAGTGTGCCAGGAAAACATCCCCCACACCATTACACCACCACCACCAGCCTGCACAGTGGCAACAAGGCATGATGGTTCCATGTTCTCATTCTGTTTACGCCAAATTCTGACTCTAACATCTGAATGTCTCAACAGAAATCGAGACTCATCAGACCAGGCAACATTTTTCCAGTCTTCAACTGTTCAATTTTGGTGAGCTCTTGCAAATTGTAGCCTCTTTTTCCTATTTGTAGTGGAGATGAGTGGTACCCGGTGGAGTCTTCTGCTGTTGTAGCCCATCCGCCTCAAGGTTGTGCGTGTTGTGGCTTCACAAATGCTTTGCTGCATACCTCGGTTGTAACGAGTGGTTATTTCAGTCACTGTTGCCCTTCTATCAGCTCGAACCAGTCTGGCCATTCTCCTCTGACCTCTGGCATCAACAAGGCATTTCCGCCCACAGAACTGCCGCTCACTGGATGTTTTTTCTTTTTCGGACCATTCTCTGTAAACCCTAGAGATGGTTGTGCGTGAAAATCCCAGTAGATTAGCAGTTTCTGAAATACTCAGACCAGCCCTTCTGGCACCAACAATCATGCCACGTTCAAAGTCACTCAAATCACCTTTCTTCCCCATACTGATGCTCAGTTTGAACTGCAGGAGATTGTCTTGACCATGTCTACATGCCTAAATGCACTGAGTTGCCGCCATGTGATTGGCTGCTTAGAAATTAAGTGTTAACGAGCAGTTGGACAGGTGTACCTAATAAAGTGGCCGGTGAGTGTAGATCTATGCTGTAGTGTAGACTACGCTGTAGTGTAGATCCCTGTAGTGGCCCAATAGATACGCTCCTGCTGAATTGCTGCTGCTGTTGATTATTGCTGCTGCTCCTGCAGAGCAAGTACAGGAACTTGCTTCTTATGGTCCATAGTATACTTTTGGGGAACCATCAAAATAAACTGTTAGCAGATATTAGACAGGCAGTCTACAAGTACTCTAATGACTGATAGTTGAGATGTAGTTGCAAAGTTAATTACAGGTAGTAGAATGTCTAAAGTGGTATATTGAATAAAAGTATTACCCATATCAAAATATTTACAAAGACTGTGATTAATTGACATGATCTATCTTGGATTTGATTGCTTTGGTTTTAAGAAGCTTCGATCATTTTAAAGTTGCTCTTCTGGAGTAAGACGAGAGACCTCATGCACAGCTATGTAGCCATCACAGGACACTTCTGGACATTAGAAGACACACTGGTGGGATTCATGTTCAACGATCTGATCTGGTGTGGACAGCAGGAGAGAGACAGAGGTACAATCAAAAGATGGTACAATTACTGATTTTCTGATGTTAGACGGACAGAGAACAGATTATGCTGAACACATTTTATATTCCTGTTCCTAGTTGTAAATCATTTATAGGCTACTAAAGTCCTTTTTCTCTGTGTCTGCCCTAAGGTTTTGACTACCAGTCCTGTCCAGAATGGTCAACCTGTTTGAACCATCCTGTGTACTCACTATGGAAGCAAGCTTCTCAGAATGTAAGTTTTGTTCAATACATTTTTGTTATGAATGGGCATTCAGGCAGGTAAGGAAACAGGCAGAGAAAAGGATCCACATGCATTTAGGGTTTAATAATAATCCGAAATAGAAATTAGGAAACACGGAACGAGAGCATAAACAGCAAACTTTTATACAAACAAACATAATAAAAAAGTAAATCCAAGCTAAACTGATAAATCTAGACACAGGCAGGGAAGGCAAACAAAACTGACAACAAGCACACGCAACATCTATAAAAGGACAACACCAGACAAAAAAACACGAGAAACACTGGGGTAGTCATACACAATGGGTGATTGGCAAGCAATACACACCTGGGAACTAATCAACAAGAAAAACTATAAAGGACTACAAAACATGGTGCAAAACAGGAAATAACATAGAAGTCCACACAAGACCAGGGGAACACAAGACAGGAATCATAACAGAGCCTCACGTTTAAGGAGAAGATTTCAGATGCTCCTCAACAAACAGGCATATACAGGGACGTGCACAGACATTTTGAGGGGCAGGGGCTCAAGTGAAAAAAAGGGCACTTCTCATAATTATGTATTTTTTTAAACTTTTTTTTAACATAAAAGTATATATATTAACACAACCCTGACTTCCTTTTTAAAAATTTAATTAAAAAAGTTAATTAATTTTATCTTCCTCAAACTCACGCAATTGTTTCATTTTCAAAAGATGTCTACAAAATACTCAGTTCACACAGAAACCATGGTCTCCTTAGTATTCACTAGGTTTATGGAGCAGCAAAGGAAACCATGCCACAAATGTGCATGTTTTATGCTACTAGTTTCAATCAAGAATATATTTGATACACCTGATGGTGACATGGACTTAGTTTCACATTTGAGGGAGGACTGTATCATCATCAAATAAAACCTTCAAAATCCACATTTAGATGGAGTTTGTTTTAAACTTACTATCCTCCATCTGTTTGCATCTGTAGATTTCTTCTAAATTCACCAATTTAGATTTCTAAATTTCAGGGGGAAAGACTCTTGATGTATGGAAGTCATTAACTGGGGACGTTCTGTGGTGATATGCTTTAGTTATGGGAGAGAGAGGGAGCGCTTCAGAACTCCTGACCTGATATTTAGATACACTATTCAATAAATATATTTGTTTGACAGGGAAGCTGTGCGCAAACAGGAATATATATTATTTTTCAAAAATAAAAAAAAAGCACCCCAGAAAAAAGGTCTATGTGTGCACGTGCCTGGGCATATAAGTCTAGGTGGGATGTGGAGCGGAGGTGGAACAGGGGGAGGGATGGAGGGCCAGGCCAGTGTGGTGGAAGTGGAGACTGAGAAGTATCAGAGAGTCAGGGCAGAGCAAGGAGGGTAGGTGGCCAGGGTGGAGCTAACAGGACTGAAGACCATCTCAGCAGAGCCGAAGTCCACTACGGCGGAGCAGATGACCACCACAGCCAAGCACATGGGACTGAAGACCACCACAGCAGAATAGACGGGACTGATAACCACCACGGCAGATCAGGCGGGGCTTGAAGCAACCACAATGTAGCAGAAGCCCACCAAGGTGGAGCAGAAGGGACTGTAACAGAGAAGTTAGAAATGTCCTCTGTGGCCATCACAGGGAACACACAGGGTTCAGAGAGGGTCTCCTTGGGCATACAGTACAAGCAGAGAGTTCATAGATGGCCCCCATGGCAGTGTCAGGGTAGGCAGCGAGTTCAGGGACGACCTCCTTTGTTGTGTCAGAGCAGACAGGAATTTCAGGGACGACCTCCGTGATAGTGTCAAGGCAGACAGGAAGTTCAGGGACGACCTCCGTGATCGTGTCAGGGCAGACAGGAAGTTCATGTACAACCTCCATGGTTGTGTCCGTGTCAGAGAAGGGAGTTTAGGAACGACATCTGTGGTCATGTCAGGGCAAAAAGAGAGTTCACAAGTGTACGCCGCCACCCCTGGAGGTTTTGTAGCAAACGCCGCCACCTAGGGAGGACCTGGAGAAGCATGTGCCGCCCAAATACACAAGATAGCAACTGCCATTACAGGAAGTGCATCTGATGGTGGAAGAACCTCAGAGACCCCCGGCCTCGGGCCACCAGTGCTGGACTCGGGGATGATGTTGCTGGTCTGCCATCTGCGCACTGACATCACCGGTGGTTCCCACACACTGGAAGCCAGTTTCAGACACCTAGGGACTACCTTGGTAGCTTCCAGTGCAACGTTCAGACTAGGGTGACTGCTGGTGTGGTCAGTCGTTCTGTTACAGATGGGCATTCAGGCAGACAAGGAAATGGGCAGAAAAGGGGATCCACATGCAGCTAAATAATAATCCAAAAGAGAAACTAGGAAACACGGAACGAGAGCATGAACACCAAACAATCAAGATAAAAGTAAATTCAGGCAAAACTAAATCCAGACATGGGCAAGGAAGGCAGACATGGGCAAGGACACTCATGTCAAAGAAACTGACAACAAGCACACAAGTAACATCCATAGAAGGACAATACCAGACAAAGAACATGAGAAAAACTGGGGTAGTTATGCACAAGGGGTGATTGACAAACAAGACACACCTGGGACTACAATCAGGAACTAATCAACATGAAAAACTACAAAGGACTACAAAAAGTAAACTCAAGACCAGGGGAACACAAGACAGTAATCATAACCATATCATTTAAAATAGGGGTTCTCAGACGTTTTATAATACAGCACAATTTTAAAATGTACCTTATTTTCCGTAAAATAAGTCAAATATGTTGCACCGGGTCACACTTAAGTTGTTGAGAAAAAAACCCACAGAGAACGGAGATCCGCAAATTACCAGCCCCCACTCCACAAACATGATAAATGTCCCTCAAGGATCATCGTTGGACAGGCGTGGCTTAGTCCGCTCTTATAGGATTAATTTCTCGTCAAAAGTATTGCGGTCACAGATCAAAAGATAAGCGTGAATCAAAAATAAAAAAAACACATGTAAAAATATATTGCACAAACTGAAAAAAAAGATTTCAGAATGACCAGAATAGCAAACAGCATGGTCACGGATCAAAAAAAAAAAGCACATTCAACCTTAATAAGAATCTTGTACTTTACCTCGTCTTGCTGCGCTGTGAGGAATAATACTATCGTAATAATCCTGGAAAAGTTACCTCAGAAGTGCTGGTAGTTTCATTTCAAGGAGCGGATCCAGCTGATGTAGTAAGTTTATTCTTAAGAGCTTTGTTCTAATCGCGTTATTGAATAGTGTCTGTAAACTGCATAAAGACTGTTTAAATATGTATTGCGTGTCTGTGTGTGAATAAATGAATGGCACAGACGCGCGCGCGATGTTGTTTACTACAGTGTTCATTCACTCTCGCTCCTACATTAGTAAACGTTATTTTTACATGAACACATCCAAACTACACTCACCTAAAGGATTATTAGGAACACCATACTAATACTGTGTTTGACCCCCTTTCGCCTTCAGAACTGCCTTAATTCTACGTGGCATTGATTCAACAAGGTGCTGAAAGCATTCTTTAGAAATGTTGGCCCATATTGATAGGATAGCATCTTGCAGTTGATGGAGATTTGTGGGATGCACATCCAGGGCACGAAGCTCCCTTTCGACCACATCCCAAAGATGCTCTATTGGGTTGAGATTTGGTGACTGGGGGGGCCATTTTAGTACAGTGAACTCATTGTCATGTTCAAGAAACTAATTTGAAATGATTCGAGCTTTGTGACATGGTGCATTATCCTGCTGGAAGTAGCCATCAGAGGATGGGTACATGGTGGCCATAAAGGGATGAACATGGTCAGAAACAAACGATGCCCAATTGGCACTAAGGCGCCTAAAGTGTGCCAGGAAAACATCCCCCACACCATTACACCACCACCAGCAGCCTGCTCAGTGGTAACAAGGCATGATGGATCCATGTTCTCATTCTGTTTACGCCAAATTCTGACTCTACCATCTGAATGTCTCAACAGAAATCGAGACTCATCAGACCAGGCAACATTTTTCCAGTCTTCAACTGTCCAATTTTGGTGAGCTCTTGCAAATTGTAGCCTCTTTTTCCTATTTGTAGTGGAGATGAGTGGTACCCGGTGGGGTCTTCTGCTGTTGTAGCCCATCTGCCTCAAGGTTGTGCGTGTTGTGGCTTCACAAATGCTTTGCTGCATACCTCGGTTGTAACTAGTGTTGCTTTCGTCAACGAAAATTATGACTAAATATCGTCGCCAACGAACCTTTATCACGTGACGAAAACGAGACGAGACGCAACGTAAATGCTGGTCATGTGACGATGACTTTAATTAAATGTATAATGCAATATTGTTGACGAATAAAAACGAGACTAAATGTGGTTTACAAAATAAAAACTATGCTAAAATGTCTCTTCAGTTTCGTTGACCAAAACGAGACGAGACGAAATGTTATTTAACGTTATTTTGTCTCGTTTACTTGCATTACTATTAAAATGCAGCATTTCTGTTTCCTGTGTCACTTCAGGGGCTGCATCAGATTGCACTGCGTAGACGCAGGCGCCTTCACATCCTCAAGCCCCACTCGCGGCATTATTTAGAAGATCCAGCTGCGTGAGTTACGGCTGTTTCACACATACTCCGTGTGTAGTGCGTATGCGGTGCGTGTTGCGGTGTGTATGCAGGAGCAGCACGCGCTATTGTGCTTTCACATGTGCTGCGCTTGCAGTGCGCAACTGATCTACGGCTGTACCACAATCACAACCTTTATTCTCTATTTTTTATTTCAAATCAATATTTTTATGCACACACGCTCCTGGAGCGCATTGCCGGACCGCATCCGCGTGTGGTGTGAGCGCTCTAACCAGGCTCTAACCTATTAACATGGGTGCGGGGAAAAATACGCAGTGCAAACAAAGCATGTGTGAAACAGGCGTCAGCATAAACGACAACAAACAAAGTTAAGTCTGACACAGAGAAAGGGATTCGTCTTTGGGAGAAAAAGAAGAAATGACTTGGAAAAACGTCCCGGG